ACATTTTCCAAGATGTTATTAAATTATCTTCGCATTAATAAACTTAAGTAGTACTTAAACATTTTAAGCTAAGACATATTCAGATCAGGAAGAGCAATAAAATTATGTTTAAATGTAAAGCATATCCATGGAAAATATTACATGAATATGTTTAATATACATTATAGCCAGAAGACCCCGACCAAAGTCAGAAAAGGTAATACGAGCAATGATAAATCTATTCTGAGATTTACTTTACTTTTTAGGGACAGAACCTGTTCCCCTGAGATATATTTACATATTTAAAAAAAATCTCAAATCCAGGAAATTCAGCCATGATTTTTGTTGAGGTTCTAAATTGGTGCTGGAGAAAGAAAACAGACTTTCATCTTGTTGGGTCACTGAATTTTTTTTTCTGCCCTTCAAGCAGGCAATTGATATAGTTCCAATCAGGCATAATTCATTAATAGTAGAATTATCTTATTTGAAGCATGCAATCTATAAAAGAGTCTGCTGCATGTTCATGAGTAACAATATTTTTTAAGTTTTATTTTAAAAGAAACTCAGAAAAACTAAGGCCTAGTCAATGTCTGGCTGTGAAAAACAGTAAACGTTTAGAGGATAAATGATTTCATTATTTTAAATAAATAATCATCTACTGTCATGTATGTTGTCATGAAAAGGACCAAGGAAACAGAGAGTATCTTTCTTATTCTTTGCCCCTATTTACAGAAGAAAAAAGAGTCTACACTCTGGAAATCATCTTGGAGTTAAGAGCCTATATTGTGGACACTATTTCTTAAATTTTTTTTGACAATGAATTCTTTTTTAATAACTAAAAGAATGTGAATCTAGCCTTAGCAATAACCATTGAAAGGGTGGAAAGGAGTCCAGTCCTCTGGTTTAATAAATATAAAGCAGTGTGCTATATAGTCTCTTTCTTTGTATTTTCTATGAGGAGACAAACCTAATTTACATGGTAAGAGCAAAGAATATGTATGTGTTAATCTAAACGGCCTGGAATTAATTACAGTGCTAGGGACCATCGTATATTTAATAAGGGGGTAGCTCTTGCAGGTGGTCAAAGTTTTAGAGATAGCACATCTACCTATTTGATAGCCGTGCCATGAATTCCTTCCCTTGACTTTCAAAAATTTTCAAGTCAGAGACAGCCCGACAGTCAAAGGAAGGAAGGAAATCTAAGTGAAAAATTTTCTTCACCTTGAACTTTGAAACAAGAAGATATTAATGGCTTAAAAAATTACTTATTGTTTTAAGTTACCTTGCAGCCATTTACTCAGTTGAACTTTCATTGAAACGCTTCGTACACACAGGGTATTATCGGTGAGGAGAGAGAAGAAGGTGACAGAGCACTGCGTGTGTTAGGGATGCTGCCTGACAACATTGCCATCTTTTAACATGGTTTTATTTAGTTATTACAACTATCTCTCTGTAAATGACATTTAGGATTATTTAAGATTATGTTGTAATCCTTTTAATCCTTAGTGCTTTAAATTTCAGGCTAAACACCAAAGAGCAAACTAGCACTTAGCAGGAATGTTTAAAACATGCGATTTGAACATAAATCTTTTTATTCACTCTTTCCCTGATAAGACCCAGTGCTGCTCTTTAGTTAACTAAGAAAACTTGGACCACAGTTCATTACAAATCACTCAGTTGCTAAATGTTTTCTCAAGCTCTACCAAACTTGTGATGGTCCTTGAAAATTATGTTAAATGCAGAATTAAACAAAAGTTAGCAGCAATGAACATTTACTAATATGACTTAGAATTTGTATGACCTTTTATAAGTACAACATGACTTTGTGTGTTTGTGTGCACATGTACAGAAATGGTCATTCTATTTCCTAAGGCTGAGCTAGAGGACGCGGGCATATACAGAGACACACATACATGATATCACATTTATACATTTGAAACACACACAATGACTTATCTATATGTACTTCAATATAGAAGCTGCTAATGATTTTTTTAAATGTGTCATTACCACTAAGAAGTACCAATTAGGCCAAAGACTATTCTATCATAAAATAGGCAGATGTTCTTGAACTCAGTCAGTGAGCATCATTCAGATTTACTGAGAGTTCTTGGACACCAAACCTTAGTACATAATTAATATTGTCATTGTTATATCACCATGTACCAATCACATAAGACTGAATCTAGTTTAATAAGACTTTGGCTATGAAGGAAATTTGGTTTATAATACAAAAAGAAAATGAACAACTTAAATGTCCGAAGGGCATATACAAACTAAGGAGACAAATTAAATCCTTTTTTTTTTTTTTTTTTTTTTTTTTTTTTTTTTTTTTTTTTGCATCACACATGGGCTTTTGAGTCTTTCAGGCACATAATTTTTTTTATTTGTTTTCCTATTCATGTTAAGTTCAACTTCTCTACAGACAGTGTAATTATGTGGCATATAATTGCTAATCCATCAACTTTTTAAAGACAGTTTTCAAATTTTAAATTATTTCTAATTTTGCTCTTCTTTGATTTTTCTTGAACCAAAAATCTCAATAGTCATTCGCTATCTGTAATCTATAATTCATACACTGAGATTGAACACCAAGCTTAATTCAAACTTGGAATTCTAAAGCTATTTCTGATGTAGCACATCAGCCGAAGCTGTGATGGTCTGCTTTAGTCAGGAAGAAACACTTCATTATTCTGTAGGTAATAAAACCCTTGTACACACACACTCAAACACCCAACAATGCCTTAATACCATGTTTTTGAGATATAATCATGTTTATTCTGATCATTTGAGAGTTAGACCAGCTAATGTATCTAATCAAATATTGATGCTAGTCATCTAGATTTAGCTCTCTGGCAAATCCTTCCCTATGCTTTTTCATCAACAGAACTATAAAACCTATTTATATTGTTCCTCTCAAAGGGTTTGCCCTCATAGTCTGTATCTATGGATATGTATTAGTAAATTTTCCTAAACTCATGTGTTTGGGTGATGAAAAGATATCAGCATGATAAGAAAACCACATGATTCACCCAAAAAAGAATGAAGCAAGAAATGAAACTGGAATCTTTCTTTAGCTTTGTTATTCACAGCATCTTTATAATCAACTCTTTCTTGTTTCTCTAAACTACAAAGATACAAGACAAAAAGAGGTAAGCTGGAAAAAGGAACCCTGGAGCCCCAGAAACTGCTCAGGTACCTTACAAACAAAAGTAGCTGGCAATATTTTCACCAAAAAGCTACCAAAAGTGAGAATTTTTTAAAATATCTCTGGAAGTACCTACATTCAGAAATATGAAAAACAAGGACAAATTCTACCAACAGGCAGTCAGTCATATTCAGGAAAGGTTGATGTCATGTAATTAATACACATCATCATACATATCATCAATACAGTGGTTTAAATATATATCTATGTATATTATGTACAAAGCTATGTAAAATTATGCATAAATATTTTTCTTCTATATTGGAAGTCTTATATACATTGTACATGCCTGACTCTCCTCTTTTGTGATCTTACTTAACTTCTCAGAAGATTAACAGAAGAAGTTAAAAGGCTACCTTAGACCAACTCCAAGAATTTTTATTGTCCAAGAATTATGTCAATGTCAAATTTTAATGTCTTTAGTTTATGACATGGAGACTAGGATGCTAAGCTCATAATACATAATAAAACTACCCCACTTAACTCACCCAACCTGGTTCAGAACTACTCATACTGATCATTTAGGTTATCATAGAAGCTAGAAATATAACCTCTAATTTTTTATTTATTGCATAATAACAAAAAGAGTAAGAAATTTGGGAGACAGACTATATCACTGATTTGCAATTCCTCACTTCAAACCAAAATTTATTTTTCTTCCTTGATTCTGTAAATCCACACTTTAATCACTTTTGGCTTTAGTCCTTTGATTTCTAGGCAAGTAGGTTTAGTTTTCTTTCTTGTTTCTTCTTTCTCTCTTTTGGTAAAAAGAAATAATCTCTAGCATATGAAAAATGAATGCCTGAATAGACTAAAAGTAGAATGCAAAATAATTTATTCTAGAAATGTTAACATGGGTCCAGTTTATTCAGTAGACCTGGATTAGCATCCAGGAAATGCAGAATCAGAGATCAGTTTCTCTCTCCCCTGAGAGTTCAGCTAGGATATGTCACCTATCTACGCTTGTATACGACCCACTATATTAACTTCAGTGATACATTTAAAAACAGAACCGACCTTTCTTCAAGAGCCAAAATGGCCTTAGAAGACATTTAATCTAGTAGTTATAATAATCAAGTTCCATGGCTACTAAATGATATAAATTCTAAATATACCTAGAAAATTATTAGTTACTTTGGAAATATAAAAGTTAAATCTCATATAAATATAGAAAAAGATCAACCTCCATAATTTAAAGTTATTAATTGCCAAAGGGATTTTAGTAACATCATATATGAAATATTAAGTTTTCTCATTTCCTTTCTTTCAAGAATCTCATCAGGTTCTTTTCATTCAAAGGAACATGATTGAAATTATTAATCATAGTTATTTTTTTCCCAAAAAATTAAATTATGCAATACAAAAATATCCAATTTCTATAGTTATTCAACTCTTTCCATCCCTCTAAATTACATTGGTAAATGTAATTTATAACTATAAGCAGGAATGGAAACGAATGCAAAAAGTTTATCATAATTAGTGAATGTTATTTTGTGTATGTCTGAAAGTTCTATATCTATTTAAGTCAAACACTCTAGGCTTGAACCCCAAACAACTTTCAAATACAATGCAACAGTCAATGACTTTGGGTGAATTAATCAACGCATACTATATATTTTCTGTTTAGAGAGCAACCAGTAACCAGGGAAAAGCAACAAAACAAACTAAAATTCAAGAAGGAAGAGAAATCAGTTTTTCATAATGACCTTCAAACTAGTTCATGCACATAAAAACATCACAACAAGGAAGTATCATATCGAAAGCTCAGATTTAGAAGGAATAGGAATAAATTTAATAAATGCAACATTCTTACCTGAAAGACATTCTTTCTGCTTGATTTTTCCTTGGCCCATTCAATATGTGCTCCACACAAATCCACACTTTCTGGTTTGTGCCCAGTTTTCTATAAACAAAATTGACATAAGAATAAAAAGCATACATCATTGGTGATGCATGTCAGGAAAAGTAAAAGTTTATTGAGTTAGCAGCTATACATATTTATAATATAAAGCCTTTCTTTTTTTTTTTTTTAAGTTTCAAAGAGACATCTACCCAGTTATGATCATTGCCACATTATTTGCAACAGCCAAGACATGGCAACAACCTAAGAGTCTGTTGACAGATGAATGGATGAAGAAAATGACATGTGGATGCAGATACAGATACAGATATAAATATTGATCCACAATGGAAAAACTATTCAGCCATAATAAGGGAGGAAATATTGCTCTATGTGACAACATGGATGAACCTTAAGGGTGTTAAGCTAAGTGAAGTAAGTCAGACAGAAAAAGACAGATACTACATGATCTCACTTATATGTAGAACCTAAAGAAGTAAAACTCCTAGAAACAGAGAGTGGTTACCAGGGGCTGAGGAAATGGGGAAATGGTTGGTTAAAGGTACAAACTTTTAATTATAAGATGAATAAGTTCTCAATTGCACACTATGATAAGTTAACACTGTACTATATAACTGACAGTTGTTAAGAGAGTAGATTTTAAATGTTCTCCACACACACACACACACACACACACACACACAGCTAACTATGTGACATAACAGATGTGTAAACCAGCCTCAATGTGGTAATCATTTCATAATATATACATATATCAAGCCATCACTCAGTAAGTACACCTTAAACTTACATAATGTTGTCATTTATATATCTCCATAAAGCTGAAAAAAACCCAAATTAATAAATATTTAGTAGGTGCCAACTGTGTGCCTTTTAGAGCCTCATTCTTCAGACTTTTAAGACTATACATGTTAGTAGATGGATATTTGTATTTAATAAACTTAATTTAGACCAAATAGATCATAGCATATGCTTCCTTTTGCATAATACAATGTGGAGGTTACCTAAAAGCTTCAGTAATTGATAACAATCAATTAACAGGGATATCGTCTACATTTGCCTCTGCATATTTTAATTTGAATTAAGTGTATCATATTTATTATTAACTTTAAATTTGCAGAATTCAATATATTAAACACAAGCTTACTTGCTTGCAAAATTTCTTTATTATTTTTAAAGAAAGTAATGCCACATTTGAAAGACCCCAACTATTTTCAGATGCTCTGAGTTACTCTAGTTTTCTCTATAAACTCAGTACTTTTCTCAAACAATTTTCCATAGAATAGTTTAAAAGTTTAGTATAGAAGGCTTATAATATTTTTAGAGAATATTTTAACAGTACGAACTTTACTTTAAAACATGAAATTATGGAAGAATGGCAAAGATGCTACAAGAAATCTGTTCACAATTGTTGCCTCATAGCCAGTGCGTCCACTTCTATCAGTTTAATAGAAATAGACTATTTTTCAGAAGAGCCAGTAATATGGGAGCAGGGGTGTTCATAGTAAATTGTGAGATTTTTTTTCTTGGCAACTCTATGAAACTTTTGAAGGGGAAATACTGTACAAGCCAAGCATGATTTTCAGGATAAATTCAGCTGCAAGGCAGCAATTGATAGCATAACTTTTCTCTGTTATTTGGTAGTAATCTCATGAGAAGCCAATCCAGATGTGGATGCCTCTTACAGATAGATGCTTCAGTCAGTGAACGAATTTTACAGGTTCACCCATAATCTGCCACCCAGGTGATCACTATCGTGGCATGATAACAATGTTCATTGTCGTGTGATTTATGATGTAGAAAAATTAAAACAACCGGCTTCTTCTATAGGGATACTCAGAATTGAGTATCAGATACTCAATTGAGTATAAGATACTTAGAATGATTATGGGATACTCAGAATCAACAGAAATAACCTTTAAGAATATGTAACAAAAGAGATTATCTTTCTCATATAATATAGTCACAGAAAAAAGATGGAATTATTTTAAGGAAAAAGCATTTTTTAGGTCCCAATGTTTTACAACTATCAATTCACTTAATTCTTATAACAACTGTATGAGGTAGGTACCATTATTATCACCATGTTACAGGTAATAATATACTAGAATATTGAGGTATACTTTTCCAAGGTAACACAGGTAGAAAAGGAAGAGCAGGATTAAATGAAGACAGCGTCACTCCAGAGTCTGCTCCTAACCACTATGTAGTCCTTGAAACTTGAAATTACACTGTGATCACATTCATGTTAAAACATGTAACTTTTTGGGAAAAGATATGACATTCTTATTAGATTCTAGTGTGGACATAATTGATCTCGTTTCTGTCCTTCTCTGTTAAACTTGATCTTCCCACTGGGCCTTTACACCACCTGTTTACCTGGAATACCTCCCAATCTTCACATGGCTGACTCCTTCTTATCCATCAGGTCCCAGATAAATGTCACCTTGTCAGAGGCCTTCTCTGACTGTCTTACATAAAAGAGAGCTGTGTTCTAGCTTATTCTCTATCTCACTACTTGTTTTAATTTTCAACACAGACTTCTTCCTAACTGAAATTAACATTTATATTTTTATATGCTGTCTGTTTTTCTTCCACTAAAATTAAGCTCCTTGAGCTGGGGCCTGGTTTGCCTTTTCTTCCACTATTTTTCCCGATGTATGGAACAGTGCCTGGCACAGAATTGTCGTTCAATGAATATTTGCTGAATTCATAAATGAAAGGAAAATACAAGAATGCAACTAGCTTTTGTGCTTTGGAAGGAAGGTTTGGGCATCTAAAAATTCCCCATGTTATAACAATTAAGATTTATATTTGGTTTAATAGTTAAGGAGTCTTTGCTTGGATCTGGAAAAGTGAAAACAGCTTAATGGACTCATGTAGATTGAACCTAGTATTTCACAGAATCCTACGATAGACAATAACTGCATGCTTATTGTATGTCAATGTGATAGCCACTGTGTTGGACTCTGGGACTCCAGAGATAAAGAAGATATTGAATCCTCCTTTAAGAATCCCATGCCAGCCTTAGACTCTACATAATTTTCTGTAGACTTTCTCTCTATGGGGAAAAAGCATTCTAAGCTTTCCCAGAGTTCTCGCCAGGCAGGTCTGCCACCTCTGCCTGTCCTCATCAGCATCATACACTAAATCCCACGGCTTGGACACTGGCTTGGCTTTATCTCAATCCAAACTCTCCTGATCATTTAGTCACCTCCCAGGACTCTGGCCTTCACCTTGCCCTTACCCACCCCATCTCTTGCATTCTTCATGAGCCCACTGCTTTAACTCCTCTCCATTTCAGCAGTCTTCATTCTGCTTTTCATCTAACAAACCCCACGTTCTGGGTTTTCATTACTCCCACCCTGTTATGTTTGTTTTTGACATGACTGGAATCAGCAGACATTTTGTGCATCCTTCCAGCTCTTCCTGGTTTCCCTTCCTCTCACAAACAGGCCTATGTTCCCAACTCAGCAGCCACTTCTGTGTCCACCCCCCCATCTCTTGCTGTCTTGCTCTCCCCCATGCAATGATCCACTCCCACACTCCACTCTCTCATCCACTTTTCCTTCTAGCAATTTCCTCATATCCTCTAATCTAATTCTGGAGAAATAACTTTTGACTACTCAATGTACTAATATTACAAATAATGGCCACTTTCTACAGGTGGGCTTTTAACTCCACTTAGCAAATATATATATATATATATATATATATACACACACACACACATACACACACACACACACACACATATGCACACACGCACACACATACATATATATGTACACTTATACATGTATATATAAGGACACTTAACATAACCATGAAATCATTGCCAAGACCAATGTCATCAACACTTAGTGAACTTTTTATGTGCTCCTGGTCACTTTCTATTCTACCTCACAACACCACTCTCCCAAAGCTTCACCCCTTTCCAGTGGCCCATCAAGTGGCATTCTCCTAATTCTCAGAGATCGTACAGCCCTTGAGCTAGAACATTCACAATTCTTCCCACTTTCTTAGTCTGTGTAATCAAAATGAACAAACACACAAACATAAACTTTAATTCCTGTATATTGTACCCTCTGAAAGCTTTGTATCAGTTTCTCATTTATTCCTTAAAATAGTCTTGTGCAGTTATTACCATTGCCTTCTATTTACATGTGAAGAAACTCAAGCAGGAAGTGGTTAAGTGCCTTACATAAAGTTCACACACTTAATAAGTGCCTGAGAGGAGACAGGAATTCACTGTCCTCTGTCCTCCAAGTCCCAAGTTCTTGATCACAACACAGTACATTACCTCCCTTCCATACCTAGCCTTTCCTCCTACTAGGTCACATGACACTGTTTCTAGATCCAAAAATAAGAAGTAACATTTCCTATCTCTTCCTTGTCAGTGTTATCAGTTCCCATATTCTGTTCTGGCTCCTGGAAATCTGGATCTGAGCCTGTGATTCTGGTCCACCTGTCTAATGAACTCCCATGCCTGTCATGACAGTGGTATCTATGAGCATCAAAATCTCTTGACCTGTGATTTCCAGACAGTGCATGATCCACTCACAAAGCATGTCCCTTTCTGCCTTAGAGGAAGAGACGCTTATTCTTCAGCCCAGGGCTTTTCCTCTCTCGTTCCTAATTTCATCCAATGCTGTTCCTCATTTTCTGAGTCGTCTCCCTTCTACATTTATCTCCCTCTTTCAAGTAGATTTATCTTTACCCATAGCCACACACAAATCACTTCTATCTAAAAATACATATAAACATATACAAGCATCAACCCCACAACCTTGCTAGTTCTCAATCCCACCTATTTCCTTTCCATTGTTGCCAGGATTCTTGAGCTTTCTACAGTCACATTCTCTGCTTGCTCACGTTCCATTCTCTTCTGAACCCACTGCAGTCTTCTACTCCTTTCCTTAACTAATCTAAAACAGTTTAACCATGCAGGTCAACAAAAACAATCTGATGCCTTCTCTCTCATCAACATTCTATTTGAACTCTGTACTGTTAGATGCAGCTCCTTTTCCTTAAAAACCTCT